TCAATGTAAATGTTACATGGCAAGATTTTCCAGTGTTAACTTTCGCCCCTCCAGTTGTTTAACCACTCGCCTAAAACATTTGTGATTTGAAGAGTGTTAATCACATCAACAGGGTCTTCTGATGAACTTAATATTGCTGTCGTCAGCAAATGTGGCAATTTTGGTGTGTTCATTTTGAGGTAGATCAGCCGTGTAGACGTTGTACAGAAGAGGTGATAGTATAGAACCCTGAGGGACTCCAGCGTTAAATTCCTTGTAGTTTTGACCCTTGATTGACCATAAAAAACCTATCGTCCAAGAATGAACCTTAAATCAAGTAATACGTTGAGGGCAAAATAATTTTCAGTTTTGATAAGAGGCCATACCTGGTCAAAAGCAGGTTTGGGGAGTATGGAATTTTGAAATTAGGTTTTTTGAAATTTTTGACATAAAAATTAGACGGGGTTTTTATCATTTGAAGCACCTGATTAGAAGTTGGGTTGGTTAGAAAATGGTACGTAATTTTCTACTATTAATTATTTTTTACTATTAAAATCATGGCAAGCACTGCATTTTTTATAACTCACAATTCTGAAGATTGCAGTACCGTTGAAGTAGGCCTAACCCCATTTGAACCACGAACCCAAACACACTTCACAGTAAACATCACCATCACCCCTTTAAATGTATGATAACTAAAACCGTAATATGTCTATTCTAATAAATCTGTACAATCTATATAAAAAAAATTAGAGTTTTGTCTGTACATTGCTTAGAATCATGCAGTTTTTGGTAATTTTTACGTTTCATAGCATAAGAAAGCCGAAACGAGTCTTATCTCAATTTCTGTCTGTATGTCTGTTTGTCCATTCTGTGACTCCGTCTGTAACGCCAAAATGTCATTTTACGCGGCCTTCTCCTAGAAAACTAGATTACCGATCAAGGTTCTAATCATCTTTCTGTATTTACTGGATTGGTGAGAGTGTCTTTGGCCATAAAAACATGGCCTCGCTTCTTTGAAAACAAAATAACGAGCCATCAAAAACCCTCTTTCGATTTTTGTCAAATTTTCTCCTAATGTTTACCATTACATTTTATGAAATAACAATCAGCTGTTTGGATTAGTTCTCACTTCTAGCTGTCACTGATATGTTTACATTAAAAGTTGTTTACAAATACCGCAACCATTTTCCGATCAAGTTTTGTTAGCACATCCAAACCAAGTGAGATTAAAAACGTTGTGCCTTACTTAACCGGTTTAATTAATCGCAAGTAAAACGATTGTTCTTGAGTTATGATAACCGGGGAAAATGCCGTGAATCAGTGTTGTATTAGTGCTGGGAAACTTACCTACATTTTTTTAATCATAGTCACCAATAGCTTACAAAAAGGTTTTCACTTATTGACGACGTTTCAAGGACAGTTGTGTAAAGGCCAAAGTAAAACATTACAAATGCAGTGGGTGATCGTGGATGTTGCTGAAATCTTGGAAGATCTATCTGATTTCGCTGTGATCGTAACAGAAGTTTAACTTACAAATGTAGCTAAACTCGCTTTTGTAATGTGTTGTTCACTTTTGGTATCTACTTACATTTCGACAACGATATCGGTACTTTTTCTATCTAGGAAGTAAAACTAAAAACGTCCAAAACCCCAGATTTGTGCATTTTTGTAACATTTCCTCCGAATGTTTGCTAGATAATGTATCGATTATCGTTTAAAAGCAGTGTTTCCCAACCTTTTTCCGTTCAGGGCACACTAACTAGAACACGTTTGTAGTCACGGCACACTTGTCTACAAAAATATCGTTGGTTAAAATTACATTTAGTAAGTGCATGAAAAACTCTTTTTTCAATTACATCTTACTCGGTAAAACCTGTTTTTTACTAGTTAATACTACAAAACTTACTAAAAGTGTCAACTTATTATTTCTGTCATGTGTTACTATTTTAATTTAACCATATGATAATAGTTATATTCTTGTTGCTATGTTTTTGTTTTACAAGTTCGCCCTAAGTTTTGTCAAACCTTTGTTTGATGACCTTTGTCTGCAAGACGCTCAAGCAGACCAAGGAGAAACCAAGTGAGGTTGAATTTATAAGGGAGGAAGACTGTAAAGTTTTACTGTTTTAATTTAACCATATAATAGTTGTTTTCTTGTTGCTATGTTTTTGTTTTACAAGTTCATCTTATTGAAGTTTTGTTCTTGCAACGTTACTGGGGTTTCTTTCTGTACGGGTTCACTATCATCATGATTTTCATTCAACCATCCTTCCATATTGATACAGTCATCCCTCAATATTTTTCTTGATCCAATTGTTCTTGAGTGGAAGATAATAGTTAAGATGGTTCATCACATCTTTGTGATATCAAGCAGCTTCTTATTTGATCTATGTGTCTTCTCCATCTGAGACCATCAACCACAATCCAATAATGAAGTAATCCATCCCTTTCAACAATCTTACCAAAACTCCACTTTTCACCCCCTAGACGATATGAACGAATTTGGACAGAATCCTTAACCTTAAATTCTCTGATTGGTTTTTGAAATATTGACGTGTTTTCAAACTGTCTATCCCTCTGTTACGTTGAAAAATCTCGCTTGATCAATCTATTTTTGTTTGTAGTGATCCTTTAAACATTAATTCGGCAGGGCTCTTGTTAGTGGAAGAATTTTTTACCTTCCGATATTGCATCAGTAATCGACATAGCTTTAAATTTATGTCACCAGGTGTGTCAACCATGGTTTTCAAACCGTTCTTTACTGTTTGTACATACCGTTCGGCTTGACCGTTTGTTGATGGATGTGCTGGACTTGTAAGTTTGTGTTTAATTCCATTTGTCTTGAGAAATACTTTGAATTCTTCAGATGTGAACGTAGTTCCATTGTCTGTCACAATTTTAATAGGTGCCGAATCTAGCAAAAATGTCTCTTAATGTACAGATAGTTTTCTATGAGGTTATGCTTTTCAAGATTCAAGATTTTTTTTTCATCGCAACTACTTCTAACCATTTTGTATATGAATCAACAAGAACAAGGAAGAAAAATCCCATAAAAGGACCTGCAAAATCTAGGTGAATTCTGGCCCAATGCATGAAGAGTTAGTACAATGATCGGACTGGATCAAGTTGATAAACATTAAAGGGTGGTTTTAGAGAAGTAATATTTCTGATCTTGTCTTAACATCATCACCTGATCCAATATTAATTGTCTTGTTTACCTTTTGTATGTTGTGTTTTGGTGTAATTGTTAAAAAGATGTATTAATAATTTGTTCAGTATAAAAACGTTTTCCATAATATTTCTGGTTTATTTATTACATTAACTTAATCAGTCTCCCCAAACACCTAATGTCACTTCACAGTTCCTGCAACCACCGAGAGTTGATACGCCAGTAAGGTCACAAACGTTTATCACAAGACGCTCAAGCAGACCAAGGAAAAACCCAGTGAGGTTGAATTTATAAGGAAGGAAGACTGTCATGTGTTACTGTTTTAATTTAACCATATGATAATAGTTGTTTTATTGTTGCTATGTATTTGTTTTACAAGTTCACCTTATTAAAGTTTTGTTCTAAAATAAAATGAATACTATTAAATATAATTGATAAAGTAAATACTTTCAATTTCATAACATTTTTCAAAACTACAACCCGTTTGCTGGTTGGTGTACAACATACACGGCGGGATGTAAACAAAGCTACACTAGCGCTCAGCTCTTCCAGCGAGAATATTGAGGAGTCCAGTGGGCCAGCTCAAACTCTATATACCAATGCATTGTTCCCTGACAGTCAAGGGCTGCCGGCTGGCGTTGCCTTGTTCACAACGTTCTTATGGTGGCTAGAAGGGCCCGAAATCCGTGGCTCTCCAATGTGTTAAGAGATGATTGCAGATTGCATTATGTTTCAACAAAAGTTATGGCCTTGAATTAATAATAATTTTTCCATGAAAGTTCAAAATTAATTTATATCACAGTTTATTGAATAATATCAACCAAATAACCTATAAAGTATTTAAAAATATACTTTACTGTTTATTTTGGGTGGGCCCTGCCCACTTGGTCCTTATGGAAGCCCCGCCACTGATGCTTATACTGTGTTTCACAATATATTCCATGAACTGGCAAAAGATTTTATTAGAGGTTGATCCCCTGACCACAGAAATATAATCACAAAATGCATTTAACACATGGTTGGAATGGCAAACTTTTACTTATGACTGAGGGTCAGTTAGGCTTTATATAGGCCTACATATCTAGTATACAAGTCACTAATGCCATATAGAGGTTTTTAACAACCTCAATAGAGCTAGAGGATGTATGAAACTCTCTGGTTTCAGATCTTAATTAACTTGCTCCGTTGTGAACAGAGCTCGTTGGAGACCTAGTTTAAAAGGTCTATATTCTGTAAATAAATGTTCGCTCATTTAATTGAAAGGTTAACGGAATAACACAAACAATTTTACATTTCTTTAAATAAAGTGTATTTGAGCACATATTTATTGGACATGAAATAACGAATGTAACAACTTTTGGCAGTTATCTAATGAATAACCCTATGTTTAGTTTTAAAGTAAAAATATAATAGGAAATATTTACAAACATTACACCAACCTTTCTGCAAGATATTTTATAATGCCCTAATCTATTACTAAATGCTTGATGTCTGGCGTTTTTAACTATAATAAATTTAATCTCTACTTTATAAAAATATGACAGTATAGATAAGCAGGCTATGTTACAGAATTCAATAATAAATTTATGATGAAAATAGTTTTTAACTTTGCAATTTAGATCATACAATTTTGTAGGCATATAAAATTATGCTGTAGCCTATAATCATTCATAAAATATTTTTGAGGCTGGCAGAAATAATTACTAGGCTAGCTTTGTTTATGTCATATTATTGTTATAACAGTATTGTTAATAACCAAATTACATCAAGACATTTTTCTAAATCCGAAAACGACACACATATTATTTATTTTCTTAAAATAGCAAGAAGAGAGAAGTGTTAACTCATATCAAAAAGTACTTTTTATTTAATCCAATTTGCCTAGGCTAAAATTGTCAACATATCCTTTTCTCAGTGATAATAGCAAGGTCACAACTTCAAGTAATCATTGGTAGCCTACAACAAACAGCAGACAATTTATAGGTAAATAATTAAAATATATAAACAAATTTAAAACTGGAATATATTTTAAGGTTAAGGCACAGCCTCGTGGACTCAACCTCCCCTGGGTCCCTGAACTAATTTCTTTAGGATCCTCCCCCAACCAAAACCTGGTTACACAACTGAGAACAACCAACATTAATAACAATGTGTATATACATAAAATTGAATCTAAAAAGAACAAGTAAAGAACATACAATATATGGTAAAAATAATAGGCTTAATTAAAATAATTAGACTATTAAAGCATTAGAATAAAAACAGCATCTGATTAAATTATGAGAAATTCTAGTCTGTGAGTTAATGCATTATTTTTTCACAACTTTAGAGCTGCACATAGTTGTAGTTCGGGTTCGTTTTGTGAATCTGGGACTTTGTGGAAGGGTCAGTGGTACTTTGGATGATGTTTTTGGATTCAGAGGGACAGGCTTAAACTTGGGCATAGGCTGAGCCTTGTGAACTGTCTCCTTTCTTATCTTAGCAGTTTCAGCCTCTTCTTGTTCCTTCTTTTGCATCTCCATCTGTAACCAAACACTTTTCATCAAAATCCACTTTAAATGGAACACTCACATCAAAACCAACAAGAAAAAATAAGTATGTGTATGGTATTATAAAGAAGCAAAGCCAAGTATGTTGGCATTTAATTTTTGTCCCAAAATTGTGAGCAAATCTTCTACTGAGTTAAAGATGGTTGTGCATGGTGAGAGTACATTGACCCTGCAGTTGTGACGTGATTTTGTGGCTTCAACTGGTGACGTCAGTCTGTGAGACCAACTTTACTATATAAGTATTTTTACATTGACTAAATATTGGAATTATGTTTTTAAAAAATTGTGTAATGATGCTTAAGTGTTAGGAAGATGTACATACAAGTGAAAACACATTTTGAAGAGGGGAAAAACAATTTATTGTATTGCATGTTTTTTTTCAAAACTTGAAACATAAAAGAATTTAGCAATTCTAACCTAACCCTCCAGCTGGCAATGGGCAAACGCTGTAGTGGAAAGGCATTTTTGACGATTTTGCAGTCGTATTTTTGAAAATTCATATAAACTAAACCAAGAGAGCAAACCTATTGAACCGTATACTTGAATTGTTTGTAAAGAAATGAGGAATTTGAAAATGGCAGAATAAATATTTAGGACAGTAAACACTGACATTAGGTAGAACAAATGTAAAAAATTGTTTTTTGAATTTTGTAATTTTGAAAGTAAAACTTTGCTGCATGACCCAAAGATTTGTCATGTAAAATTCAAAATATACAAAATGTCTGGAATTTATTTCCCTAAATAGAAATTTAAAAAGATTTCAATTACCACTTATTTTTACAAAGTTATGAACCAAAAACAATAAAATGGCAAGTTTAACGATTTTGCACTACAAATTTCAAACAAAAACCAAAGTGCCTTTTTCATGTGGCGATCAAACCGTTTGTTTATTATGACAAAATGTTTCAAAAACGGGCTAAATGTAATGTCCCAAACCTCAAATTACTTACGTAAGTATATCCACAAGAAACAGTTTACAAACTAAATATGTACAAATTTACAACTAATAAATATGAATCAAAGTAATAAAGTCACACCTGCGATATTCGTTGTTGGTAAACAGTCAATGAAGTTCACAAAAACCGGCTAAAATAGTGTCTCAAGTTTCTTAAAGTAATGTCACAATTCAGTCAAAGCACAATAAACAATACAAAAACCAAACATAAACAAATTTACAACTTATAATCATGATGTAAACTGATAAAGTAAAATCACACCAAAACTTGACTTGTTAGTGGTTGGTCAACAGAGATTGAGGTTAGTTAGTCAGACAAATATTCACGAAAAGTAACAGCTGATAACTTCAGCACCAGAAGTGCAATCTAAAACAATTGTATACCAAAATGCACAGAATTTCATGGTCTTTCGAATGAGATAATTTATCATATGGATAATACTCTGCCACTTCACGAACACATAAAAAATGATTGATATTCTTTTGTTGTTTTGAGATAATAAGTATCATAAGTATAAGATTGTAATATCGAATTGATTTAAAACGTGTTTTACGATTGCGACTATTACTACAGTCGCTCTGCCACTTCACAAACACATAAAAAATGATTGATATTCTTTTGTTGTTTTGAGATAATAAGTATCATAAGTATAAGATCGATCATAAGTATAAGATTGTAATATCGAATTGATTTTTGTACCATAATACAATAGACTCTCAGTAATCCGGCAGATATAGGACCGTGATACTGCCGGATTACTGGAATGTTATCAATAAAAACACTCAAAATGCAATTAAAACACATTTCCGAAGATCGCGCGATCGGAAACCGCTTTTGCAGCGATCAGGCATGACGACGATGACGTTTCCGTAATCGTGGGAGACGATGATAACGTCTACACGGCCGTGGGAGATGTTTATGATTTTGCCACGATCGCGCATGACGACAATCACGTTTCCGTAATCGTGGGAGACGATGATAACGTCTACACGGCTGCGGGAGATGACGACGATCACCTTTCCGGGAGGCGATGATAACATCTATACGACCGCGGGAGATGTTCGTGATTTTGCCGCGATCGCGATGACGTTTCCGTGACCGCGGGACGCGATGATAACGTCTATTCGTCCGTAGGAGATGTTCATGATTTTGCCGCGATCGCGCATGACGACGATCACGTTTCCGTAATCATGGGAGACGATGATAACATCTACACGGCTGCGGGAGATATTTATAATTTTGCCGCGATAGCGCATGACGACGATCACGTTTGTGTGACCGCAGGAGGCAATGATAACGTCTATACGTCCGCGGGAGATAATCAGAATTTTGCCGCTATCGCGCATGACGACGATGACGTTTCCGTGACCGCGGGACGCAATGATAACGTCTATTCATCCGTGGGAGATGTTCATGATTTTGCCGCGATCGTGCATGACGACGATGACTTTTCCGTGACCGCGGGAGATGTTCATGATTTTGCCGGGATCGCGCATGACGACGATGACTTTTCCGTGACCGCGGGAGATGTTCATGATTTTGCCGCGATTGCACAGATGACGATGACGTTTTCGTGACCGCGGGAGATGGTCATGATTTTGACGCGATCGCACAGACGACAATGACGTTTTCGTGACCGCGGGAGTGGATGATGATGTCTACACAGCTGCGGGAGATAATCAGAATTTTGCCGCGATTGCGGAAGACCTCACCCGTCAAAAGACGACGGATTACTGGAGTGCCGGAGTGGTGCAGTGCCGGATTAGAGAGGGACTACTGTACAGGAAAATTCTTCCCGGCAAGGGTTTTATTTTGGCGGTATTGACCAAGAACTAAGCTTCTCAACACGCATTTCTTTTTATTTGCCTTTTCATATTTTATGAAGACATTTTCCAATATTTCAGTTAGGGAAGCCTTTTTAACATCATTAACCAAAAGACCAAATCTAACTAAGTAAACCAATATCCATCCACAAACATGTTTGCTGCCTTTAGCAGAGTTAAACCTCTGGAGCCATTCAAATTATTTTAGATAATAACATCAACAAAAGCAAACAAAGACAAACAAACTGGTTTTTACACAAAGGATATCTTGTACTGGGATATCTATCCCGACACATAGATAATTTGATTCTGAGTTTGTTTAAATATTATGATAATTTATTATTTTTCATAGGCCTATGTTTTATTAAGGCCAGTATTAAAATGCCGTCTCTAAATCGTTGGTAGAAGACCTACATTCCAGTTACATTATAATCATATCCTCCATCAAGAATACTTGGTATTAACAATCATAAATCATTTCCAGCAAAGAAAGCTGAGTTTAACCAATTGCATGGGTTGAAATGAAGACAAATGTTTATGTTGCACAGTTAAATTTAAATGTCAATTTTAAATGTCAAATTTCCCCTCCTGGTTTTATACTTAAATACTCGTTTTTTTAATAGTTACTGTTTTTTATACTTAAATACTTTTAACCGATTGTAAGGGTAAAAATGCCTTTGTCCAATGTTTTTGTTGTAGGCTACAGTTGAATTTGAATGTTAAATTTCCTTTCTCTTTTTTATACTTTAATGCCCTTTTTGCATGTTAATATCAGATTCCAACTACTGTAATATTTTCCTGGTCAAAACTACCATAATCCACTTTTGGAAGATGTATCTGAATAACAAGGTGTAGTAAACAAAACTAAATTTGAAATATTATAATTTTAATAAATTAAACAAGAATTAGTACATCTATTGACTTTTTTTACATTTAGTTACTTATATAAATATCAAATCACGTTTGTTCCGCTCAACTGGCTTTCACCTCTCTGAAAGCAATCTTAGTTACTTTGGTGTTTGAAGTTATCCAAGATGGCCACTAGCCTCCAAGGACTCTTAACATATACACCAAGTTTCATAAAGATCGGTTGAACAAATTCAAAGATAAAAATGTTTATGTAAAAAATACAAAACTGTGGATATCTGGTTAACAAAGCGATTTTGGAAAAAAATTTTATTGTTGATTTTCTCTTTATTTTGACCCAAGGAATCATTACGTCAATTATGTCCCCACCTTTTTTGAACATTGTGTATTCATACATATTCAACAGTAAAACAATTTTTATTTAGTCTCTTCAGCTGTGTTGGCAACTCTGACAAAGTGTAATAGATTCAAATTGCAACTGCCATTGTCATTTTTCCAGTGGACTGTCCACTAAAATTCCTACTTTTGTGTTGTATATTTTATGTGTCTCTATGGACTTATTTAAGGGAAGCCTGCTTCCCGTCAATTTCCTTAATAATTCCTGGTAAATGCCCTATCTTTTTATCAGACTATACAAATATTTTCTTTTATCTTATTTAACTTGAAACCCAACAACAGGTTTTTTTGTCAAATGTAATTTTTTCACCAGGTTATTATCATCACCAGGTGAAATGTAATTATTTATTATATATTTTAGGTTCCAATCACTCTAAAAACCATTTTTGAAACAGATATTTGTGTTGTTACCAATTGCTTGAGGCCAGCCAGTTCTTGCTCCTTCTCAGCCTTCTTCATCTCAAACTCCTGACGCTCTAGAGCTCTGCGGTCAGTGTGCAACTGGATGTCAAGCGGCTCGCTATGGGCGTGCTCAGTCACTGGTTTGAACGGCTCCTTTCGCAACACACGTGGAGAGCGAGCCTTGAATGACTTGGTGGGCTCTTCAGACTCCTATTTAAAAATAAATAGTATGTTGACTCAAAGCAATTAATTGGTTTTATAAATCTCCAGATAACACCCTGAATCAAAAACTTATTCTTGTGATGATTATGTAAATGGAACTAAGAAATCATCAAATGATACTGCACAGTATTCACACTTGGATTAAAAACCAATAACCGGCTAAAATTAGAAATAATGTGTTAAACATTTTAACTGGAAACTAAGGGACATAATAATTAATTGTGTTGTCAAAAGAAACAAAGTCTTGGGCAAATGACATCTTGCCAAGGATAGCAGGACCATCCGGCAAACCAATCAAGGCTGAACATCTGTGAAAAATGTTAAGGTTTTTACCACAATAATTTTTATATACTTACCTTAACACTTGTAAGAGACATTTTTGAGCAGTTCAAATGGGATTTTTGTGATGAAGATATTGTTGTGTCTTTGGAAGCTATAAATGCAGGCATGGGTTTAGCTTTGAATTCTCGCATTTTTTTTTCTGCTTCAATAATCTGAAAATAATTTTTTATCTACAAATTAAAAAAATCACCAAACGAGCAGTTAGTAGGTTGGTCTACTAATCTTTATAAGGATAGAAATCAACTGAAAATCTGGTATGCTTAACATACTATGTGAATTCATCTTATTAATTCAAGTACCTGGGGAAAAGCTTTGCTCGGAAAAACTCATTAGTATACTCTGAGAGTATTGTTTGGTCAATGTCATTTATCCAAATATTCTTTTGCAGTCTATTAAAAATCTGTTAAAAAATATCGTAGTACGGTATATACGTTTAGTTATTATTAAGAAACCAACATAGCCAATAATAAAGTCATTTAAATAATATACTACATTTGATAAGAGCAATAACAGACCATAAGACCATTTTGAAACTTATTCTTACAGCAAAGGTAAAGCCTTTTTCTCGTTTTAAAGGTTTGGGATCGCAAGAAAGATTAAAAAATTTCCAACAAGGTAGGAGGAGAAGGGCGCAACAATATCTCGCGCCCATAGTGCATCACATGCAAACCATGGGCTTGATGAAGGTTGTTACACAATTATTGTCAGCATGCAACATTTCACTATCTCGAATTTTACCCTCCCACTTTCAGTTTTGAGATACCGAGACCTGTCTAGTATTTATTATATGCAAACCTTGTGGTGCAGTGTTAGGGAACTAATCATCAAACTCAAAGTAAACAGATCGAATCTATTTCGGGTTTGATATATGATATAGCCGTGCTACCGGGTTGCCGGAATTTTATCCTCCTGGAATTTTACCCCCTGGGCAAAGCTGACGTCACTATGACGTAGTAACCTGTGTGGCCAAAAGTTTGTTCGCAGCCGGAATTTTACCCCCGCGGATTTGGAAGTCTAATGAAAATAGTCAGAGCGTGATTAATTAGATTAGCGATAGAAACCGGAATTTTACCCCCTGTCCATATAACTAGCGTTTAGATAACTGAAGATGTACGGGCCAGATTTTTACCCCCGGATTTTTACCCCCGGAATTTTACCCCCTGGAATTTTATCCCCCGGAATTTTACCCCTGGAATTTCACCCCCGGATTTTTACCCCCCGGAATTTTACCCCCTGGCTGATTTTAGAAATTGAATGATTGATTTTCTTATTTCTGTTTTTAATTAATTTTAAACATTTCATTATTTAGTAGCCTATCTTTACTTATTTAGTAATCTCAACTAAGTAAACGGAATTTGCTGTTTTATTTTGATCATATTAACCAACAGTTGGCTTCAAAGATTGAATCCTGATACTTGAATCTCAAAATTAAAATTAAAAACCTGTTTGATTAGTTAATGTTACAAATAAATTAAGATAGACTACTTATTAATATAATGTTTACTATTAAATTAAAACCGAATGAAGATAATTAATCATTTTCACTCATTTATATATCTGGCCAGGGGGTAAAATTCTGGGGGTAAACTTCCGGGGGTAAAAATCCAGGGGTGAAAATCCAGGGGTAAAAATCCGGGGGGTAAAATTCCGGGGGTAAAAATACATTCTACATTCTAGACATTCTTATACATTCTATACATTCTTCAAGTACATTCTAGGTTTTTATAATTTGATGTGTTCTGATTAAATTCACAACCGTGAAAATATATGTTTAATTCCGCGTTTAATCCATCGAGCTGATGTCGCGATCAACTCAAAAGTTCGCGGCCGGAATTTTACCCCCTGGTTTGTGACGTCACGTTTGCCCAGGGGGTAAAATTCCAGGGGTATAAAAATCCGCTACCCCGTGCTACCAGCAGGTAGCGCTATCTTTTTTTTATTTCTTAGAGTGTAGGGGTGTGCGATGCATCGAAATTCCGATTTGATTCGATGCATAGAATAGCGATTAAATTCAGTGGTGGTCAAAAAATGATCTGATTTATGAGGAAATCAGTATCCATATACAAAAAACGCCTGCAGAAAGTCAATGCAATACCCGCAATACAGGAGTGCGTTGTTATTGTGTTTCCTTTGCGAAGGTGTTCTTATTTAATCGATTCTTTGCATATAAATATTGCTTTAATTGTTTTATAATTTTTTGTTTTGACATTGCAAATGAGAAGTTTTGTTAAGTGTAAGCAGTGTGAGACAGCCGAAACAAGTCACTCCAAAATCATTCTGAAAAATTGTTACTTGATACCTAACTAGTAAGACTGATGTTTTAGACTAATAAATTTGGTATTTTTGTAGGTCTGAAGCTATGTATACCTTGCAGTTTGTAGGTCTGATTCTATCCTCTCATTTTATCAATGTAAACCAATTGAAAGTTTTTATTTGTTTACACCAAAACAAATCTTTCTTTGTAAATTCAATATTATAAATAGGTAACATGCTTAACAATATGATTCTGCAAGTAAACATTATGAAAAAGGCAACTAAAGCAGCTCACTGACATTTCCAGCAATACAGGTTCTTCTAATGATTGGAATATTGTAAATAAAAATAAATCTATTTTAACCTAAAATGCATATCTTACTAATAGTTTGTGTGTTTGTTTGTTTGTTTGAAGTTCAGTCACTACACATACACATATACTACACGCATTATCTACTGGACAGATTGGGCTGAAATTTGGCATGATAATTGCTCACATTCCCGATTATCAGAGTTATAACATGCTCAACACAGAATTTTTATGGAAGGAAAATGTCTAGAAGAACTGAAAAAATTTAAATTCCTAGGACTTGTGTTGGACAAAAATTTAAATTGGAACCTTCATATTAAACATCTTGGCCGTAAATTTTTATTAGGGATTTTTGATCTGAGAAAAATTCTAAATTATGTCCTTTGGAAACATTAAAAATAATTTACTTTGCTTTTATTCACTCCCACATCTCCTTTGGCATAATTTTATATGGAGCAACCTCTCAAGAAAATTTGGAACAAATATTACCATTTAAAAAATAAGCACTTCGCGACATGTTAAAAATTTAAGATTGGAGAACTTCAGTTTAAGAACAATTTTCAAAACTTGGTATTATTACTGTTTTTGCCCAGCATATATTTGATTTGATCTTGTTTGTAAAGAATAATTTACCAAAATTCGAGACCTTGGGTTCATGCCACAGCTATGGGACAAGGCACAGACATAAATTCAGTTTTTCAAATCACAACTTTAAATTCTTTGAAAAAAACCTGTGATTAAATTGTATAGCCTACTGCCTGATAATATTTTACAAATAGCAAACAAAAATAAATTTAAAAAACAACTAAAAACTGTTATGCTACCCAAGCCTGTTTATACCCTAGATGAATTTGTTGGTTGACTGTGTTGTAAATTTTTAAGTTATAAGTTTTGTACTTTTATTTAGAATTTTTATATATGTTTTTACAATATAATTTAATTGTTGTTATGTAATATGATTCCTATTGTACTGTCAAATATTTCTTTAGCTGTTTTATTTAAGACTGTTTTGTTTATGTATGTAATGTTTACAGTTTTGTGCAATTCTCTCATGTAAAATGTAGCTGACTATTAAGTTGAATAAAACCATATAAATTTGGTTTCTAAACATTTCTTTTCATTACAATTTATTCAACTTAATCTTTTAACTATATTATTACAAGTTCTTCTATACAAGTTGTATTCTATCTTTTCTATTCAAGTTTATTCCAAGAAATCTAAATGGATAAATGAATGAATGAATGAAATAACATTTTATTTCCCAACTGGCATAATACATTTTGTGGTATTTACATAAATTATACAATACTTAACGTAAAAAAAATATAATAATTACAAAAGTATAATACTGTATAACTAAATGGCACAAAGAGAAAAAATAAAAATACCTTACCAAATTAAAAGGAAAATGTCTACATAGGCAGGGGCCTGTGCGTAGACATGAGTTGCGGGTAAATTGTATAGTGGGAAATGTTATCTAGTGTAATTGTTATAGCACGTCTTGCTGGGTAAAATGTTTATCTTGCTTGGAACTGGACTACGATATTTTACTGAACTAAAAAGAATCATGATTTCTCTTAAAAATCAAGTGATCAAGTGAATAGGTCGAATGGAGGTGAGTGGTGGGTGGTGTATTAGTTAGTCATTGTATCAGTGATTGTGAATTGTAGTGTAGGGTCAACGGTCAGGTCAGCCCAACGCGATAACAGCCTCGGTGTCCTCTGAGCTCAATCCTACAAGCCACGCTACTACATGCTTCTTAAACAAAGAAAGAGATGGAGAATTAAATATGTCGGCATTCTGGTATTTGTCACACAACTTTCGATAGATAATTTGGGTTAAATGAAAGCAGTTTGTGTGTGAAAATGAGTTTAAGGTCTGTGGAACAAATATACCTACGTTTTGCGAGAAGCGCGTATTGTGGGAATGAGTAATTTTTTCAAAAATATTCTCAAAGTTTTTGTACATGTGAACTAAAATAAATTTCAAAAACAACTGTCGGTTCTAAACATAATAATTCTTAATTCCTTCAATATAAATTCTTCAATTCCTATCTTTGGACCCTAATGTGAAAATATATATAAAACTGTATATGTATATATATAAAATATATATATACATATATAAAAACCATTCTGATCGTCAGTGGAAACATTGTAAAACCACTTTCAAGAATTTCATGGAAGAAATATGTGCTGCAGAAGATGATCTACTAAAACTTTTAACTAATTTTGTGGACTACAACATATATGAAATGATCTCAGAGGCTGATTCTTATACTGAAGCTATATCTATTCTCGACAAACTTTTTATAAAGCCTACTAATGAGGTATATTCACGTCATCAACTGGCAACTAGAAGACAGGAACCTGGAGAAAATATTGATCAGTATCTTCGAAAACTCAAAGAACTTAGTAAAGCATGCAACTTTAAATCTGTCACTGCTAATGAAAATCGCAACGAGTACATAAGAGACGCTTTCATTCGAGGATTAGGCTAATATCACAGTCCATTCGACAAAGACTTCTTGAAAATCTAACTTTGACTCTTGAAGAAGCTTATAATTGAGCCATTACCTTGGAATCAGCT